GTAATGCAATCACATAATTACCGTAATACAGTCGTGTGTTAAATGATCGCAACGAACACATAACAACACACCATATTGGGTCAATGATATATGGCATCGTTAGAAGTGATATGGCATCGTTGCCATTCAAATTATCCGTCATGATTTGTTTGCCCATTTCAAGGCAATAAATAAATTTATTTAATTATTTAATCAGCTGTTATAACGCCTTATGAATGGATGCCTTCATTTGATCACCAGTGATGCAAATATCACATTCTCACTTCTTTGGCGTCCTTCTTTCCATACAGCTAACGATATTGACGAAAGAAACTATCTATCGATCTTCATGAAAATTCAAGTCTCGATTATTGATTTGGCGATTGTAGTAGTACGGGCCACCCTTCCATACCGTTCAGTAATTTGTAGGGAGAGGACTCGAAATAATTCCCAAATTCGCTCCCATTGAGACAATGGCCATGCGTTCAATGGTCGAATTTGAGAAGTACTAACAACAATTATGATAATAATATTACTGATAATAACTCATTGAATTATTCCATACGTATGCGAGTTAAAAAGTTACAAAGTTTTTGAAAATATTTAAGTTCATTCGCAATGCTTTCCATCATCATTTGAACATAAGTCAATGACTGTAGTGAGAAGTGGATTGCATTTTAGGTATGGTGGTGAAGTTTTGTGAGTGCCTTGGATGGGTCTATTTTCATTCGATTTTGGACGGATTCAGTGAGCGATTGGCGTTCGGTGTGAGGAAGGAATTAACTGAGCTGGTCAAGTTGGATGGATTAGATGCAAAACGTGCACGAGCATTCCATCGAGCACAAATCTGCACGATTGCGAAGTTGGCGAACACACCCGTGGAACAAATCGCGAAAATTCTTCGATCTGCAGTTCCTTTCATTGAAACGTTTGTTTAAGTTGCGATTCATCTCTTTTTTTTTAAATGAATTTTTGCTTTTTTTAATAACTGCTTTATTGTTTTTGTCATAATTTCCATTGGCATTAAACGCCTCTATCGTTCCAGATTCGTTGGTGTCTGAGGGAAATCATTGAGAAAACTATATATTACATGCAGTAGAATCGCANGCGATTCATCTCTGTTTTTCAAATGAATTTTTACTTTTTTTTAATAACTGCTTTATTGTTTTTGTCATAATTTCCGTTGGCATTAAACGCCTCTATCGTTCCAGATTCGTTGGTGTCTGAGGGAAATCATTGAGAAAACTATATATTTCATGCAGTAGAATCGCAATTCTTCTCTAAGTCAGTTTAATTAAGGTCATGCCTTATTTGGCGATATACATGGTATCGAAATAATTGATGTTGTAAAATTGATCGTAAGAGAGCGAAATTGATAACATTAGCAGTGGGGGATTATGTGGTGAAAATACATGTTAACGCAATCTAGAACGAGCGTTGCGATTGTTAGGCTATTGAATTACAACAGCAACAACTATAATCGTGATGAAGAATAATTTGTTGTGGGAAAATGTTGTGTTATTATCATTGCTATTATTATTATTATTGATTTTGATATAATATTTCATGATGACGGGCTCGATTCAGTAATATGACAATTGTATATAGTGTTTGCCTTCACTAAGCTCAAGCGGGAACGGTTTAAGTTTCGGTGAAGATTTAGGAGGAATGATGAGGATTACACGAATAAACACGTAAAGGAATGGGGAATATCGCTTATTGTTAGTGTATGGCCAAATAGATTGAATGGAATTAGTGCGAATACATCTTCAACATAGAATACGAAGGCAGACCAAAATCACAAAATGATGAATATAGTATAACATTTCTGCGATATCCATACATATCAAGATAAATGCGGACACGGATACATGCCATCTTGCACTCACTCCGTTCATTTCTGAACAAGCATGGCCATCCCAGCTCAGAGGGGAATGCATTTCGACATACGTTCTACGGTCACTCTCAGCCTATTGTTTTCTATTCAATTCCCTCAACCTTATCCTTCTCAAATCAACATTTTTGCGCAATGCTATTAGTCATTTCATATTTTGTTTCATAATTGGGAAATATTTACTAACAATTTAATTAATTAATTACTATTATGTAATAATTGAATGACTGCTTATTTGTTTTCTAATGTGATGAGGTCGTTGATTAGTTTATTCATCGATATTGTTCACTGCTTATTATGATGATTTTTTATGCCACCATATTTAAACAGTAATCATTCCCATTCACCTCAGTGGCGATGGAGATTATAATAGTGATATTTTGAGTGAACACATAATATAGCTGAGTATATGACACTATGAGTATTTTTGGAAGTTACGAGCTATATCACATACACAACATGGAAAGTCGATAATAATTCGGAAATTTATGTTCAGAAGCTATAAAGTTAGGCTGGTACTTTGAATTTCGCAACCCGTCTTGTTTCACTTGACGCAGGAAAACGCACGCTATACCTGACCACGGAGAAGTATGAGTTCAGTCAGGAATTCCTCTGTTCGGGAACATGAGGCGTAAACTGTCATATCTGACCTGTGGTTAACTGAATTATACTGTTGGTAGAATTCGAAGGCATTCCAAATGTTCCACTTTAATCGTATGAGCTGATTTAGTTCATGTCATCCTAAAGTGTGATGTGGATGATATTTGACGGTTATTTTATCCACGTCTTTTTGAAACGTTCTGATTGTTTTTGGCTGTTTAGTGAACGTAACGATAGAGCTGGCTTGAACAAGTGGTTAAGTGGCGAAAAGGCGATGACCGATCTGGAATCT